CCCCACCTTCCCTCTGAGATTCATCAGTCCATCCCATGCTTCTATGTCACTGAATCTATTTTGTTCATCAGTTTATTATATTCTTTAGATTCCACATGTAAGTGAGATCGTGTGGTATTTGGCTTTCTCTGCCTGGCTTATTTCACTTAGCATAATATTCTCCAGGTCCATCTATACTGTCCCAAAGGGTATGAGATCCTTCTTCTTTACAGCTGCATAGTATTCTGTGGTGTAAATGTCCCACAGCTTTTTTATCTGCTCATCTACTGATGGGCATTTGAGCTGTTTCTATATCTTAGTTATTGTAAATTGTGCTGCTATGAACATAGGGGTGCATATATTCTTTCTGATTAATGTTTCAGGATTCTTAGGCTATATTCCTAGAAGTGGGATCATTTGGTCAAAAGGCAGTTCCATTTTTAATTTTTTGAGGAACCTCCATACTGTTTTCCATGATGTTGTGAATGCCTGGGGAGGGGAATGGGTGTGGGGTGGAAGGGGTCAATGGAGAAAAAAGGAGACATCTGTAATATTTTGAACAATAAAAATTAGCTATGAAAAAAAAAATAGCTTCAGCCAAATATCCAACATTCTGTTCATGACTACTTAGGTATTTTGTAGGAAGGCTGAGGCTTTCTTTACACCTCTAGTCTCCTTCTGAGCCCTCAAGAGAAATTGCACTTAACAGACCGGTGGATGAAGGAAGTAACCTCACAGGGTGATCTGATCATAAATTTCCAGTGGTACAATTCATGGTGGACAGTCCATCCCTGGCATATAACTTCTTTAGTTGCCTTAAGCAATCCCTATCCATTGTTCTTGTGCATCTAAGTTAACACACCTTTAAAATGCCAGAGTAACCATTCTCAAGAGAGCACATAATCTTGCTAACTATCCTGTAATCCTATCTCCACCTAGCTTTCTCCCACCTCTATTTAATCTTCCTTCGTTCCCTCCTTAATTCCAAATTCATAAAAGAAACCGCAAACTATGGTTCAGGGAAGCATTTTTCTCATTCTATTGAGATGTTGCATCCAGGCATATCCTCTGTTTGGCTCAAATAAATTATAAAAATTCTCTACAGGTTTTGACATTCTTATGTTCACAGTCCATTCACTGTCGGAGAGGAAAAGTCTTCCTCTGCCCTTCTAGTTTTTTGTGGCTGGTCTAATAATCAAATTGACATGAGACAGATTAGCAGGAGAAAAACAAAGTTTAATAATATGTATGTCGTCGGTATACATGGGAGAGACCCAAGAAAACTGCGTAACTCAAAATGGTGGAAGCCATCACCTTAAATATCATCTGAGGGTAAAGTCAAAAGATGTTGGAGATGGGCTATCAGTTATGGGAAATTACCAGGAAAAGCACTGTGAATTAGAGTAAGATTGTTAGGCAGATTTAAATTCATGCCTTGTCCATTAATACCAATTTCTGGAGTTTCCGATATCCTCCTCTTTCTAGTACAGCCAGGAAAGACACCCTTACAAATAGAGTTCCCTTTAACTATCTCTTACACAGGCTATTTTCTGCCTGGTTTTCAAAGCTTTTTTTCTTTTTCTTTTATGACTTCTGTTTCTTAAAAATTAACCAGTTTAAGTAATCTTTATGCCAAAAAGATATTTTGGGGTGGCAAATTTTGCTCTCCTACATGGCAATGTAGACTTTTTCTAGTGTGTGCTTCCCAGAGTCCTCTAGCCTCTTCCCATTATACAGTTCAAAAGCCACTTTCACAGTTTTAAGTATTTGTTACAGCAGTATCCCCACTTCTTAGTATCCGTTTTCTGTCTATGTATGGGCTGCTGTAACAAAATATCACGGACTGGGTGGCTTATAAACAGAAATTTATCGCTCACAGGTCTGGAAACTGGAAGTCTGAGATCAGGGTGCCAGCATGGTCTGGTGAGGTCCCTCCTTTATGTTGTGTCTTCACATAGAAGAGGCTAGAGAACTCTAGGATCTCTCTCTCTTTTTTAATTGTCACCCAAGGATTGGTCTTGATTTTAGAGAGAGAGAGGGAGGCGCAGGCAGGTGGGGGAGAGACAGAGAGAAAGAGAGAAAGAAATATCAATCATTTGCCTCCTTCCTATATGCCCCTCACTAGGGATCAAACCTGCAACCTTTTTGGTGTATGGGATGATGCCCCAACCAACAGTCACCCCACCTGGGCTCTGGGGTCTCTTTTATTAGAGCACTGATCCCATTCATGAGAGCTTCACCCTTATGACCTAATCACTTTCCAAAGGCCCTACCTACAAATACCTAACCTTATGGGGGTTAGGATTTCAGCATGAATTTGGCGGGGGAGACACATTCAGTCCATAGCAATAGTATTCTTATGTTTTTAATATCTTTGGGATATTCTCTCATTTCAGACATTGTAATTTTTTGTTCTTGGTCACCCTTGCTAGAGATTTATCAATTTTCCTGATCTTTTCAAGGAACATCTTTTGGTTTTGTGGGGGAGGAAGAAATTTTACTTTACCCTTCTAGGTTCTTCTGGCTAGTCTAATAATTAAGTCAACATGAGACAGATTAACAAGAGAAAATAATCAAGATTTATATACATATATCCATGTAGGAAACCTACTTACATTTCAGAGACTGCACATACATGAGAGATTCCAAGACAGAAAACTTAAAATGAGGTGTATATGGCACTCCAAGCTAAGGATGAGGTAAAATACCTTGGGGCTTCAGAGGTAATTTGCAGGACCCTAAGAGCAGAAGTTCAGTAATTAGAAGTCTGCCCTGCCCTGTAGGTAGGTCATAAGAAGTTATTTCTGGTAATGATTCTTTTTGTGGGCAAGGCCCCAAATTTAATTTCTTTGAGAGGTGGAAGTTTCTCATGAGCTTGTATTTTGATTACCTTCAGCTCAAAATAATTCATATGCCAGATTGGCACATCTGGGGGAGACCTGTTCTCAACCCTTTCAGTTTCAGTGGTTTTTCATGTATTCTCTTTCTCTCTCCTGATTTCTGGTCTTAATCTTTATGTCCTTCCTCTGTTTCCTTTGGGTTTAATGTGCTCTTGTTTTCTAGTTTTATAAGGTGAAAGCTTACATTATTGATTTGGGACCTTTTTGGCATTTTTATTAGTATTTTATTTTATTTATTTTTTTAAGATTTTTTTTTTTTTAAAATATATCTTTATTGATTTCAGAGAGAGGAAAGGAGAGGGAGAGAGAGAGAGAGATAGAAACATCAATGATGAGAGAGTCATTGATCCATCCCACAACCCGGGCATGTGCCCTGACCAGGAATTGAACCCCAGTTGCTTGGATCCTAGGTCGACGCTCAACCGCTGAGCCATGCCCGGCTGGGCTTTATTAGTATTTTAATGCTATAAATTTCCTTCTAAGCACTCCTCTACCTGCATTCAACAAATTTTTATATGTTGTATTTTTATTTTCATTTCATTTAGAATATTCTAATTTCCCCTGAGAAGACTGACACATGTATTTAGAAGTGTGTTGTTCAACTTCTAAGTACTTAGAGATTTTCTGGTTATTTCTGTTACTGACTTTAATTTCTTCATGATCAGAGATCACATGCTGTATAATATCAACCCTTTACATTTATTAAAGTTTATTTTATGATTCAGAATATGATCTGTTTTGGTGACTATATCATGTGCACTTGAAAAGATGTGTATGTTGCTGTTGGGTATAGCGTTGTATAAAAGTCAGATTCATTCAATTGATGGTTTTGTTTAGATTTTGTATATCTTTGCTGCTTTTGTGTCTCCTTGTTCTGTGGATTACTGAGATTAATGTTTCAGTTTCCAAGAATAATTGTGGATTTGTTTACTTCCTTCAGTTCTAGTACTTTATGCTTCATGTATTTTAGAAATCTGTTGTTAAGTACGTACACATTTAGGATTCTTGTGTCGTCTTGATGAACCTAGTAATTTTCCTTGTCCTGAAATCTGCTTTGTTCTAGAAAGAAGAACGTTGTCTCAAAGGCAGAATATGTGCTTCTGTGTGGTTATGACACCAACTGAATATACAGCTAGTTTCCACCTGTTTCCATTTTTTGGCGGTTACCTTATTTTTCTGTTGTAAATTTAATTTTACTTCATAATTAACATAAAACATTTAGATGCTTCTAAAAGTGCATTCAGAGAGGTCTGCTTTCATACTGATAGTCTCTCTCTTTTTTCCCCCACAGGATAACCATTTTTTGTTTTATCTTTCTATTGTTTCTTTGTGAATAAAGGTAAATTGGGGATTCTAATTTTCATGCTCTCCTACAACAAAACATGTACACACACATTATGCATATTGTCTGAACCTTGACAGTATATGGTGAGTTGAAGCTTAAGGTTTATATAATTTTGTAAGATACTGCCAAATTCCCTGTCCATAGGCTCTTTATTCTTTTATTTCTCAATATATGAGAGTGATTATTTCCTCACAGCCTTGCCAATAAACTATGTTGTCAATCTTCGATTTTTGCCAACTGGATAGGTAAAAAATGATATTTCTGAGCAGTGTTTATTTATATCTGTCTATTACAATGAGATTGTGCATTGTTTCCCAAACTTAAGGGACATATTCATTTGTTTTCATGTATGGACATTTTACTTGTTTTCAGATTTATTAATGAAATTGTTTATAATATTGCATGTGTTATGAATGTCTACAGTATCTATAATTATAACTCCCTTTCATTCTTGGTATTTGGGTGTACTTTTCCCTTTTTTCATTACTGAACCTTAGCAGAGCCATATCCATTTTGTTAGTTATGACAAAGAGCTACTCCCTTTTTTGGTTGTTTTTTTGAGCCTGTGTTCTATATGTTTATTTTCTGTTTCATTAAGTCTTGCTTTATTTGTATTATTTCCTTTTATCTACTTTTTTATATTCTTCAGCATTTCTAACTGCTTAAGACAGATGCTCAGTTCATTAATTTATTTTTAGCTTTTCTTATTTTTGTGATGTAACTATGTACAACTAAGAATCTCCCTTTATAGAGGGTGGGGCAGAAATTGGTTTACAGTTCTTCGTATGGGAAATAATATAAAAATTTAATAAATAATACAAGAATAAACTGTACACAAATGTAGTCACAGCTGTAAACCTACTTTTGCCCCACCCTGTTTACTCCTTTTGCTGCATTCCACCAGGTTAGTAGTATAGTCCTTATTATTTTACTTTTAATATTTTCAAAATTCTGTTACTTATTTTTTGACTCATGAGTTTTTAGAAATTTCCAGACATGTGAGGTTTTTAAAAAGCTATCTTTTGTTGTGGTTGTCAGAGAATGTGGTTGTTGTAGGCTATCAAGTACATGAAAGTTGTTGAGACTTTTTTTATGGCCTAGCATTTGATGGATTTCTGTATTATTCTGTTTGGAAGTAATATTTTTATTGTTTTGGAAGTAATATTTTTACTGTTTATTAACTCAAATGAAGTGGTTGTGATGTCAATTCTGTTCTAGCTGTACTAATCTTTTTTGTCTCTTTGATTTATTACTGAGATAAATATGTTAAAAATTTTCCTCTGTGGCAATAGATGTCTGTTTTTCTTTGTGGTTCTAGCAATCTATTTTGGAACTGTGTTAATAGATACATATAAATTTAGATGTTAAAGACATTGAATAAAACCTTTTTATCATTGCATGGTAAACTTCTTTATTTCTAATAATGGTTTTGCCTTAAAGTCTCTTTGTGTGTTATTAATATAGCTACACCAGTTGTGTTTTGATTAGTATTCGTCTAGTGTATTTTTTTTCTTTATATTTTTACTTTTAACCTTACAGTGCTCTTAGGTTTTTTAAGTTGTATTTCTTTTGAAAAGTATGTAGACTATTATTTACACCTTATAAAAATATTTTCTGTGTGGTTACAGTGCTGAAGCTGCTGAAAGATGGCAGAAGAAGTGGTTGTAGTAGCCAAATTTGATTATGTTGCCCAACAAGAACAAGAGCTGGACATCAAGAAGAATGAGAGATTATGGCTTCTAGATGATTCTAAGTCTTGGTGGCGAGTTCGAAATTCCATGAATAAAACAGGTTTTGTGCCTTCTAACTATGTGGAAAGGAAAAACAGTGCTCGGAAAGCATCTATTGTAAAAAACCTAAAAGATACCTTAGGTAAGTTAATTTTGTATTAAAACAGCAACAATACTTTCTTTTAAATAGATGGTAGAGCTTGGTTCTTTGTACAGAATTTTGGCAGCAGTGGACAGAATTGGCTAGAAAAGGCCAGGACTGGAATTTCAGCTAGACAAGGTAAGTTTGCCTCATAGCAGGTGTTCAAATCAGTAGACTGGTGGATGTCAATAAGTGTTTGTGAGCAGTTTCTATAAACCTAGCTCTGGTGGGTCTGGCCAGAGTTCAAAGATTAAGCCAGAGCGGTGCTGAGGAGCAGAACTAACTGAGCTAATAGGGGCTCCTTGAACTATGAGTGCCTGATGGAGCTTAGGCAAATTTTGCATCTAATTGAGACAGGGATAAATGAGTGAGATGCAGAATTGCCTCCTTGAAATTAAGGCGATTTATTTTACATGGCACATTGCTGTATTTTAACATCTAATGGCTTACATTTGGAACTTCACTTTTAAAAACAAACCATTTTTTTCTTATAGTTGATAAAAGAATTTTAAATTGTGAATCATGACTGTAGATTAGCATCTATAAGGTTGGTCTCTTTTCTATATATTTTTTCCCCCCCATTCTTTCTTCCTCTAACTGTAATGTTTATTTGTTTTTACTGACCCTCATTAGGGCCAGAGATAGTGGAACCTGCTCACATTTGCCTTGGCTGAGCTGATAGGAAGGAAGGAGATATGCCCAGATGAGGAGTGGCCTTTTTTCTTTTTTAATTAAACTCCCCTTGGCTGACAGGAAGGAATTGGAAGGCACAGAATTTCATTTTTTGTATTTAGGCAAGCACACAAACATTATATTACTAAGGGTTCTTCGTATATATGTAGAAGAGAAAGTAAAATTTCTCCTTGTGAGGATAGTTTGGGGGTAGTGTGGCATGACTGACAAATATAAAATATTATTGATTAACTGCTTTTTATTAGTTTTTACTTCTTATTTAACATTGTTATTCTAGACTAAATTCATCAGCAATAGAAGACGGATCTTTTGTTTTTAACCATTGTAAAACAGCAAGAATTTATAGTACAATTCAGAGTAAGATATAAATATCAGAATATTGGTTTCTGAACTAAAAACATTTCCAGCATTCTAAATATAATTTAATAAATGGAGTTATTAATCTGAATTTTCACCAAGACATTTAACTGCTATAAGTGAGGCTACCTTTTTTTGAGATTTTAAGGTTTTGCAAATAAGACCATTATTAGTTTTTAAATAGACGACAAATCAGAAAGAGATTTTCCTTAAATAGCTAAGAGACCAGAGTTAGAACCAGGAATATTTATTATTTTGTGAATACTGGACATTTATTTAAAGCACGTTGATTAGAGATATTGGGGATAATTAAGTTAATTTCTATGAAGAAAGTGTGCCTTATAGTGATGAAGGCATAGAAATGACTATAGGACCACATCTAAATAGACATTTTTGTTCCGTTTTAAAAGAATGCTGGTATCCTAGGACTAGAGCAGATATGACAGTAATTAACAAAAGGTAGTGGAAAAACTAATACCATAGATCAAAGAGGATAAATTTCCCAGTTTTAGATATTATTGCATATAAATTTTAAAGCCCAATTAGATATATTTTTTATTATTTATTTTAAGTTACTAATCTGTAATTAGCCTTGTATAGTGATGTAAGTTCAGTTTTTGCATCAGACAGGACAGCCTTCTCTCCTTTCTCAGAATTTCTGAACCCCTTCTTGGTAACTTAAAAGTCCCATATAATTAATAGATTAGTTTCACAATGATTGTGCTGATGGAGAAACATTGTTTGAAAGCTAAGAAAGAAAAGAAAACAGGAAAAAAATGAGTAAGTGAATATATTTTCAACTGTTGAAAATATATATGATTTAAAGCTTCTAAAATAAGTCTGAATAATAAGGTCATATTTGTGGCCAGCATGATATACTTGTTTTACAAGGTCATCATAGTTCAGGGGGTAAAAATGTTTGGAAAGAGGAGCCTCAGAAAAACTTTCTATTGCCTGGGTGTGGGCCAGGTCACATGGATTGGGTGTGGGGAGTTTCAGTGTTGCAGAACAAACCAGGAAGCTCACTGAGAATTATCCTGAGCCCTAACTGACAAAAGAAAACGCGGAATTTTTATTCAAAATGGATTGGTTAAACGTCTTTAAAGATTTTTTCAGTAAGTTAATCTGTTTATTAAATCCATGGTTTTCAAATTAGATTTTTCACTTTTGTAATTTAAAGGAAAACTGTATGGAGAGAACCTAGTGAGGTTTATATAGGCTGGTGCTTTTATGTTGTTTATGAAACAGAAGCGAAGTGATTGGTGATACATCAAATAATATTAGTTTTAACTTGATAAGTAACTTATTTTTAAAATGTTTTAGTATCACTGTTTAACAAATAGGAAAAGGGTATATAAATAATTATTTGAGTTTGATGCAGTTAGTTCTAATTCAGTAACTTTGAACTTAGCGTAAACATTTGAAGTGAATTAAATAAATTGTAAAGATATTAAAACATGAAGAAAATGGATTAGGTGAGCAAGTTTCTTTATTGTCAACATGATTTTAACATGATCCTCAACATTTGAATTAACACAGTATTATTTTAGTACTTTTTACTTAGATTTTAGAGGAACAGTGCAGAAGATAACATTTAATAAAAGCTCCAGTAAAGGGAATGTTTTGATTTAATCAGTGTAGGATTGCTAGAAATTGCTGTTTTGGTAAATGTGAAATTTTGTAGTTTGAAAATTTCTGAGAGCAGCTGTGTGCAAAGAAAATATGAACAGTGAAAGAACATAGTAAATTCTTTGACTTGTTTTTGAGTTCAGGTCATACAGTAATACTAATACAAGAGCCCAATTTCTCTATCTGCTGATGGCCTTTTTATAATCGTATGACAATGAAGTTGATTTGGTCTCTGATCATTTGCTTGATGTTCCTAGAAAAATGAACAGAGGAATTGTTGTAGAAGTCTCTTATGTATAGGTAGTCTAAGAAAACAAAGAGTAACTTGTTGAAATGTCAGGAAAAGGGCAAAATGGAAAAGGAGCAAGCACTTTGTTGAAAAAGAATGTTGTAAATGTAATATTAAGACTCCTTTGTTTATATTGTTAACTTTAGTGGCCAAGAGATATATCCTGAAGTATATCTCTTTTGTTTGCTTTTTGGGAGTTATAAAAATTTATAGGTCTGCTTTTTTTGGTTAGTGTTCCTTTTAAAGAGTTTATTCATTAACTTATTCATTTATTTGTTTATCAGCATATTTTTATTGATAGCCTACTGCAAGCCAGGCAGAAATCATAGAATATAAAACTAATATTCTCTCAGAATTTACATTCTGGTGGGGAGGTAGATGGTGGTGGTTATTTATTAATAATACAGTGGATTTCATATCTAAGTCTGGTCATAATTGATATTGACTATACATCAACCAGAAATAGTATAAAAAGAATATGTTGTATCATTTATAGAATGATTCAGTATATACTATCAATACATTGATAAAATCATTCTCTCTCTCGATTCTTAGAAAGTTGATAGTTAATCCTAAATACTTTTGTAGGCTCAGGGTTAGGATTTGAGATTTGTAACCAAAATTGTCAGAGTAGAGACAGGCTATTCATCTACCTATTCCCTGAATGGACTTAAAAAGTTGAGGAAATAGTATGTGTGCTTGTGTGGTAGTGAGAGTACCCTTGAAAACAAAAAGTGCACAATATTTTAGATAAGACAGAATAATAAAAAACAACTTCTCTTATTTCCTGTAAAAATGAACAGAAAATACAAAAAATTAAATAAAAACCTGTAATGGAAAGAACACTATATATTTGTATTTAGAATTCCTTAGTTCTGCTTCCATATATACCAATTATTAGTCAAGTAACCAAGGGTATATAACTAAACTTTTCCTGATTCCTTATTTGTAAACAAGAGAATTGGGCAAGACTATGACCCTGGAAAGCCCCTTTGAACTCTAGAAGTCTTATAGTCCTAGTAAACTACTGACCAATCTTTACATGTACCATAGAAATTGGGGAAATCCGTTAGGGAGAAACTGGTTTTGAAGAAGTATGAACATAACAATTATTGTTCCCTAAAAAGAAGAATACTTTCCTTGGCCTCATTCTATTGAACATTTATTTACTCAGTGATTTAGATGGAGGGAAAATGACATGCTTATTGTAAAGACCTAATGCTGGAAGAATAACAAATACATTGGGTACAGAAATATATTTGAAAGCTAAAAACTGCAACAAATAAACAAGATGAGTAGGAACAGACATTAACGTAAAGTTAAGTTTTTAAAAGAAATTGAAAAAATTGCTGAGAATCTGGCCTGGCAGCAGTTTACGTGAGTAAAAGACTTTGTAAGAGCTGCTGTGATAGTGTAGGTGCTAAAAGATCTCAACACAGTTCATAATGGCATTGATTCAAATTTGTGAGGTGCTCAGGTGAAGGGATGCAATAGCTTCTTTGTGTGTATACTGGCCAAATAAGACATTTATGTATCACTTTGGATAGATATGCTTTAACCAGTGGTATTGAGAAACTCAGAAAGATTTCCCTTAGGAAGAGGACAACTATCATGTGAGGATGGAATATTCACAGTAGCTTAACCAGGTTCTTAAAAACTTTTGAGGAGTTAACAATATATTGTTTTGGTCAAGAAACAGTGCTGTAGGAAGAGAGAAGTTAGACCAGTGGTTAGGAGTGAGGGAAAGATCAGAAGGTGTACTAACACTGGTTTTTCAAAACAAAGCTAACAATAAAAATGAGTGCCTCAGAGTTGTGCACATCCTCAGTGTTTAGGCCTGAGTATTTCCCTCCCAGTCCTGGCTACGTCCAGTTATATAATGCTATAATAAAGTTTAAGTATTTTTGAAAAAGTAAATGCCAATACTAGGAGGTAGAACAGTAGTAACTACCATTGCTTGCTATGTGCTATGCACTGTGCTGAGTGCTTTACATATAAACTTTTTAAAATTCTTTACAAAAGTTTTATGAAG